TCCTTCCTACATAATAGGAAATATATCACAGGAAACTTGATTGAGTAAGACTAGAAATGCATGGCCATGCTCGAATAAGTTGATATGAGATATCATAAACTATTCGTTAATTAAAGTCTACTCTAGATATCAAGAAATAATAGATGGGCTATACAAGTGTGACTATTCCAAGACTTGTGTCTATTCTAGATATAAAGGACATAAGGATGTAATACATAAAAGAGTTAATCACTAAGATGATATGTCGAATTATATTTTCTTGTAACTTAGGTGACAATGATATATTGCTAGATGTCACTCATTGTATGTAATATTAGAATTGTTCTAATAATTACTGCTAACGTTACAAGAACCTACAGGGTCACACCCTAGGATTGAAACGAGCAAAGATGTACAATTTGTTGTACGATACTAAAATATATCTAGAGTTAATTAAGTATATGTTTTAATAATCCCGAATATTTAATTTCAATTAATTAAATATAGATTTAATTAATTTGAAATAATAAAATCCTTAATATGATTAGGGTAACTTGGATATAAAAGGATTATTAAATTCTAATTAATTAAATATAGATTTAATTAATTTGAAAAAATAAAAACCCTAATATAATTAGGGTGACTTGGGTATAAAAGGGTGTGTTAGGTCTAGCAGTCATTTTTGGAGAAAACACACAAAAACTTTCAGCCATTTTCTCTCAAAATGGTTTTAGGGGAAAACAAAATTGCTCTCAATCGGGTGAACTGAGTAGAGGCCGAGATGTGATTTCGTGGAGGCTTACGATTCGAACCGATCTACACCACCAGTATTCACTGTTGTCCTTGCTGTTTTGATGGCATAGCGAAAACAAAACTCGACGGTCTCACCACTAAGAACGATGTATATAGAGCATCAAAACTGGAGAAGAGAGGTAAGAAGAAGGTAAGAAAACCTTAGAGGTGATCCCTCTTGTTGATTCATCGGAGGTGTAAGTGACAGAACAAGCTAGTAATATCAAAACTGGTGTTCATAGAGTTGTTACTATTGTCGAGCAAGGGTCTAATGATTCAACCAAGGTGGGTCGTGGCGCTCATCGGGTAACGACTATCACGTGTAAAATCCAAGTGCATAGTAATAAGAGAGGTTCAGTGGGTCGATAACCCCCTCACATTAAATCCAAAATGACAGCTTCTGAGTTAGCTAAGCACATTTGCATAGTCTTGGAGAATGTTGAAGTAAAATGGAGTTTGCCCAAGCCTCTTGACGTGGCGGTTCTCATGGTTCAATCCTCGGATGATGAGAACCTCCAGACATCGAATGATCCAGTTGACCTCTCAGAGGGAGATGGACTCGACGCCGAACTATAAGGTTCGTTTCCTTGATTTTATTTATTTACTAATAAGATTTTGTGTTAGAACTATCAGGGTGTGGCTAGCCTTGTCTTTCGTAGATATTTCAAGTCTTTCATTCGTGAGTATAGGTCGACTGTCGTGGTACTTATTGAGCCTTGGATTAGTGGTCCTATTGCAACAATATGGTGACCAAGTTGGGTTTCCTCATTCGTTCTGTGTCGAAGCTCATGGTTTCTATGGTGGAATTTGGTTGTTGTGGTCTAATGCAGTTGTGGTTAATATCCTTCATGTATCTAATCAGTTCATCAGCATGATGGTACAAGAGAGCAGTAGAGGTCTTCATTTCTATTTCACTGCAGTTTATGCTAGCCCTCACAGTTCATGTCGAAAAAATATCTGAAATCAGCTTGCGCGGGTTAATCCGGGAAATGATGTCCCTTGGCTTGTCGGGAGAGATTTTAGTGTTATCCTTTATGCTGATAAAAGATCCGGTGGGGCTTGGGTTCATAAGTTTGGGAATAGGCCTTTTCCTGATTTTTTGTATTCCCAAGGGCTCTCGGATATGGATTTTCATGGCCCTCCATTCACCTGGGCGAGGGGGACTCTATGTAATACACTAAAATTTAGGCAAGTGATCAAAATGTAATTTTTAAAAGTTTAGTGGTCAAAGTAGAAAATTAGAAAAGTTCAAGGCCTAAATTAATAATTTTACCAAAAATAAGTTTAAACCTGTAAAGGAATAATTCTTCCCAAAAATGATATTTTTTGTGAGAATCATATTTTTTATTCGGAGTTTCTATAAAAAGCTACAAAACGATAAAGTTTGGTAAATAATCGAATAATTGGATCAAATAAAAAAATTCAGAAAATTTTGAAGGAGGAAATTAAAATGTTAATAATTTCATTTTCATATTTTTAATTGGTGAAATTTAACATGGATTTTTGGATTTAAATTAATTTTCCACGTTAAACCGAGATTGATGGATTATAGTGACTAGATTGTAAATTCAGAAAAACTATAAGGAAAAAATTGAAAAGAATGAATATTTTGTTCATATTTGACTTTGAATGATGATATGGACAAGTGGCATGGTAATTTGGCAATTATCATGATTTTTAAAGGGTAAAATGATCTTTTAGCATAAAATGAATTTTTAATTCATTTTAATTAGTTTTAAGACAAGTGTATCATGATATTTTGATGGAAAAAATCAAGAAATGTACTCTTCTTCCTCCTCCAAACCGTGGCCTTCATAGCCAAGGTAAGAAAAATTTTATTTTTCATTTTTAAGCCATTTTGTTAGGTTTTGGGACTAAGGTGTGAAATAGAGAATTAATCTACATCAAATTCTCTATCATCTGGTATAAATATATTTCATGGTTTTCTTGATTGGAATATTAGTTTGGTTTATTAGGGTGGATGAAGAACAAGTTGAATTTTAACGATTTAAGGATGGATTTTTGATTTAGTATACGTTGAATTGTTTCCAAGCATGTGTGATGAATAAAATTAATTGGAAATACATGTACAAGGATTTGGCTAAGGCTAGGGTTTGAAGGAAAGAATGATTTTCTATTGAATATGATATGGAAATATTTGAGATTGCATGAGAATGATGTTTAGAAGATGAATTCATGTTTGAATCAAGTTCAAAATCAAGCTAGATACACTTTATTATATTTGACCATGAAGAAAAAGAATTAGGGAACAATATTGAAAACAATTTCCCTAAGCTTAGAAATAGTATTAGAATGATTCTACATGCTTTGAAATGTGATTTGGACCAATTTGGATGTTTGTGAAAGTGTAGGGACATATTTGCATATTTTTAGAAATTTAGGGATTAAAGTATAATTGTTCAATAATTGACGTACTATGTTGGAATTTAATGTTAGAATGTTGAATTTGAAATTAGAAAGTGAAATTGGACCGTTTTGAGAAATTGGTAAAGTTTGAGGACCAGATCACAAATATGGAAAATTGGGAATTTAAGTGAAAATTGTGTAATTGTTGAGATATTATGTTAGAATTAAATGCTGGAATTTTTAATTAAGTTAATTAAAGAAAAATGGAAAGGGACCATTTCGAATAAATTGGAAAAGGTAGGGTGAATTCTAAAAGAATTCATTTCATTGGTCAATAATGTGAAATTGAGATGAATATGGAGATTAGTGGACGAATGTGGATAGTAAGAGGATTGAAGTTGTATTTTTAAAGTGTTAAAGTTAGTATTAAAAATGTGAAATGAAGTTTATATCGAATATGCATTAATTGCATAATCAATAATTTTTATGTTAATATACACCTATTATGTTAGTGTAGATACTAACGTATGCTTTGAATTTTATATGTTGATAAATTATACTAATGTAGAATGTACTCGAGATCGTGAGATGAGTAAGCTTAAAGCTAAGGAAAAGTACAAAAATAAAGGCTTATGCTGAAAATAAAGGTTCACTAGCGAGGCATTACCAAGTGAGTGCAGCTTATTTATTTACTTATTTTGATCGATAAAGACTTACGATAAGTCAACCTTGTATTATTTTTAAAGAATGATTTTATGTTAATTATGAGATATTTCCATAATGCTTAAATAAAGGCTTTATAAATGGTTTAGGGTATGAACTGTCCAAGTTACGATTTTTACAATTATGAATTAAAAATGATTTTGATTTGAAAATGTTTAATTGTTAAATGATTATGAAATGATCTGAAAGCTAATTATATGTTGCATAGAGAGTCATAGGTATACTTGGCATGCCATTAAGTTGAGTAATTATGACGATGATCTGGTACATTTATGTACATTAAAGGAAGCACTGTTGGTGCAAATGATATGATTGCATTTGGAGTGAATATTCTCATGATGATGATGGCACCATTGGTGCTTAGTGCGCACATTATGTCCGACTCACGTACCTTGCATTCTCTTACATATACATTGGGTTATGAAAATAAATGTGAAAGTTTTGAAAAGTATTCAAAAGAAAAATGACATATGAAAGTTTTAAAATGTGTTCAGAATGGAAAAAGAATGCAATGATTATTGTGTAACATCCCAAAAACCAAGTTAGTGACAAAAATGAAAGTTTTTGAAATTTGGTGATCAATTTGAGAAAAAGTGAAAAGTTCAGGGACTTAATTGGAGAATCTTGATGTTGAATTTGATAGCAAATTTTGGAAATATAAAGGGCATAATGGTCATTTGATAAGAAAATAATTAAAAATGTATGAGGAGAGTATTATAAACACGTGGAAATTGGATGATAAGTAATAAGGAGTCTGGAATTTTCTATCTTCTTTTTTCTTCCTCCTCTTCACCGTGAAGCTCTTGCATAAAGTGAGTATGCTTTTTATGGATTAATTCTTTTATTTTAAGGTCGATTTTGATTCTTGGAGTGTTAAGAAAGCTTAAGGAAAGGTTATACTGGTGCAAAACTGAGAGATGAACAAGTTATGAGGGATTAAGTAAAATGCGTTTTTGAGTGAATTATTGAAAAGTAAGGAGTAAATGGATTTTCAAGATGAATTTGACTTGTCATGAACTGAAATAAGAAATTCAAAATGTTAGAACTGAATTTGGAATATGTTGATTAATTGGCATGATTAGTGAATTCAAGTGTGTATGTGGGATATTGGATATTAGGATGAATTAAAGTGATCTAAGTTGATTTGAATAGGTGCAGTTAAGCCTAAAGGGTTAAAAGAAGATTATAGTAGAAGATTTAAGTAAGTTTGGTAAATTTTTGGGTAAAATAAATAAATTTTGGGCAAGGGGTATTAGTACTGTTCATTCAATACCGATACTTCAAAGAGAAAAATGAGTGATATTTGGGCTATGGGTATCGATACTGGTTGAATAAGTATCGATACCATAAGGCAAAAGTTGATAAATTGTTCAAGGAGTATCGATACCAAAGGAGTAGTATCAATACCATTGAGCAAGTATCAGTACCAATTTGAAGATGAATTCCAGAATCGAAATTGGGTATCGATACTAAAGTATAATATCGATACCATAGGGTAGAAGTATCGGTATTGTACCTTAGGGTACCGATACTACTTATATGGAAATTATTAATTTAATAATTTGTATAACTTACGTTATATTGACTGGTTATAAGAAATTCAAACTCCGATATTTATATAAGTTGTATATTCGTGTTGATATCGATCAAAGACAAGCTCAAGAAGATTTGAACCTATAAGAATGTACAAGAGTCATAAGTGTTAGAATTGGCTAGTGAGGTCCAAGTGAGTGCATACTAGTTGGTATATGATGTTTAATAGAAATAATACTTGCGACGAGTCTATTTTCTATATTAGAATGCATGAACTCATGAATATAAACATGTGTTTGATATGAGTATATGTGTTATATGTTATTGTATATGTTATATGATCTGTGTGAATACATGTTATGTGACTATGATATAAACTATGTGATTATATGAAAAGTAAAATAAGTTAAATAATGTTGACCTATGTGACTATGTGCGGAGTGGTATAAGCTATGCGATTATAAAGTATGTGAATACATGCTTACGAGATAAGCAATGTGACTATGAGCTATGTGATAATAATATGTGTGATTACATGAAAGTATAATATAAGCTATGTGAAAATGATCTATGAGATTATATGTCTATGCAATATGAATGTGTGAATGTGTGACCAACATAATGATAATGCCCATGTTATGTGAAATGAGAGCTAGGGGTATAGTTGGCATGCCAAGAGTCGAGGGTTCTATATGGTCATTCGGGACATATATGTAATCCTTTGGAACATATATGTGGTACTTTGGTACACCTAGTTGGTCCATTGGAATATGTATGTGGTCCTTAAGGAGATTTCTATGTGGTCCTTCGAGACATCTATGTGGTCCTTCGGGACAAATTCTATGTGCCCCTAGTGGGAATTTATACGAGATGTGGTGATAGCATATGTGCACAACCGTAATGTACTCACATATCTTTAGTTCTCATAAGTATACATGGGCCATTAAGAGATAACAATAATACACTGTATGTGATGTATATGCTTTGTGATGTGAAAAGTATTACAAGAATTATATGATGTTGTGTGTATTGGTTAGTTAAATGAGTCATATGATGGTTAAGAATGTTAGGTACAAGAGTATATGACTAAAAGATATGAATGATAATAATATTAATAATGAAATGAGGTTAATGATGGAAATGACGAGTTATGTGTATGTTTACATTTGATTATATGAAATGTTCATGCATTGTTAAGTATTTAGAATTTCCATTATAAGTTTAAATGCCTCACTAAGTCATAGACTTAGCGTGTGAGTGTTTCACACGTAGGTTCTGTGAAGCAAGAAGAGGAACATGGATAGGCAAGTGAGGTCAGCTTCTCATTTCTATAGATCAGATCAGAAAAGTATTTGATAATATGTATTCTGTTATATGGAATGTAGTTGGCATGTAAATAAAATATTTGAATTGTATAGCTCTAATCAGTTTTGTAACTATTTGGTTGAAATTGTTTCAATTATGCAGTTTTATTTAATAAAAATTGGAAATTTTCATTATTTTGTAAAAGTAAATGTTTTGAAAAGTTATTGTCACACCTCATATTTGTCTCCGGGTCGGGTACGAGTTGGGGGTGTTACATATTGTGACATATATTGATTACCATGATTTTTATAAAATTGTGAGATGATGATTTTTTACATGATATGCCTTTTATGTAATAAAGTGTTTATATATGTGATATGAGTCAAAAGAAAACTATTCTTTACCGAGTATTCATATTTGACACTTTATGCTTATACATGTGCTAAGGAATGATTTTTCAGGTTCAATTTCATTAAAGGAAAAATGTTTGAATTATCAAATTTATATATTTTTATATGATGGTAGTAGCACTCTCGCTATTTATGATATTTTCATAATTTAAAATGTCTTACCTTAGTTTATACGCCTAACTAAGTGGAACTTAGCGTGTAATTGTTTCACGCGTAGGTAGAAGGAGACAGATCAGATTAAGGAGTGTGGTTGGACATCACTTTTGAAGATCGTATAAGCTCTCCAATATCAATATGTTATTTTCTAATGATTTGACTTTTCTAGTTAGCATGTATATTGTATGAGTATTATGCTACTATGATATGATAGTATACCGTAAACTATTAAATATACAGACTAAAAATGGACACTACTAAGTATAATAAAGGGTAGATGCATGAATAGTAGTCTACTAAGTTATGTTTTAAATGTTATCGCTATGGATTTTATAGTATGCAAATTTTAGACAGTTTTAAACGTTATATGAAACAGTATCAAATGACTACATTACTGCCTAAAAATCAGGTTTGAGATGAATGATAAAATATTTCTTTTTAATTTTTACTTGATTAAATATTTTAGTGATTAAAGTAAATTTGATGTTTTTGAAAGAAACATTCAAAAACATAATTTTATGGGTTTTTTTAGTAGGAAATGCTATAAAAGGTCAGTGTGACATCTTTAACTCGTATTTGAGTACGTATACGTATTAAGAGTGTTACATTTTTTATAAAGAATAATGTGACACTGTATTTATAGATATATATGTGTTATGAGTGTTACACTATATATCAAAGACTTGATTGATGTGTGGTTAACTCAATGTGCACAACATCATTTGTGGGCATACTCTTCGAGTTTCGATCACTAATGAAGAAATTCATCGAGCCATGTTCGGCATGGGGGCGACTAAAACCCCAGAGGTTGACGAAATAAACGTTGGGTCTTACCAACAAAATTGGCAGATTGTGGGTGGTTTTGTTTGTGCATTCGTGAATCAAGTGTTTGATTCTAGAGTGATCCCGAAGAATATTAACCAAATGCTTTTTGTGCTTCTCCCTAAAGTGCCAATGCCTGATTCGATGAATTAGTTTCGACCCATAGGCTTAATGCAATGTCATCTATAAAACCATATCCAAAGTGTTTGTTAATCGGCTGAAACCTTTCTTGTCGAATTGGGTTTCGGCCAATCAATCTAGTTTTATGGCCGGTCTTTCTATCACGGATAACATTATAATACGTAGGAGATTATTCATTTTATGACATGTTGGAGTGAGACTTTATTCAAAATACTTTCGATGCTGTTGGTGTCCCGGATTCGATGAAGAGTTTAATTATGTAATGTATTACAACGATGTCCTCTCGTATTATGTGAAATGGAGATACGAAAGAGGCATTTACTCCTTCCAGAGGTATTTGGCAAGGCAAACCTTTATCGTCGTACATCTTTGTTTTATGCATGGAATGCCTCTCTCGAATTATAAGGGCAGCTACGGTAGCGAGTGATTGGAAACCTTTTAAAACTTATTCGCGTAGTCCAAAAATCTCTCATTTATTATTTGTCGATGACATGATTTTATTTGCGGAAGTCTCTATGAATCAACTCCACACTATTAAGTCGGTTTTGGATGAATTTTGTCAATCTTCACGGCATAAAATCAGTGTGGCTAAGACGACTATGTTTTTTTGAAAAATGTTCCGCGTGACGTGAGGACTCAGATCAGCACGGGGTTTGGTTTTATGGAAGTTTCTAATCTTGGTAAATATCTTGGGGTCCCGGTTCTCCACCGACGGGTTACTGCGGCTTCTTATCAATACTTAGTCCAGATGGTGGAACGTAAGCTTAGTGGTTGGAAAGTGAAATGTCTCTCCTTTGTGGGAAGAATAGTTCCTGCTAAATCAGTCCTTTCAGCGATTCTCACATATACATTACAAACATCAGTGTTGCCTAAGAAAACTTGTATGGCTATTGAGCGTTTGATTCGTCGTTTTGTCTAGGGCTTGTTGACGGATCGTGGGGGTGTGCATTTGGTTAAATGGGTGGAAGTTTGCAAGCCAGTTTTGGCTAGAGGGTTGGGATTCCGTAATATTAGTGTGGTAAATGATGTCTTATGAAAATTGTGTTTCGTTTACTTGTGAATACCGATACACTTTGGGTTCGTTTTCTCCGTGCTAAATATAAATGTGACGATGGAGTGCCTCAATACTGCGCAATTCTAATTGTTCTCGGTTATGGAGAGGGCTAAGCATCATTTGGTGTGATGTTCCGTCGAACCTAATATGGTCTATTGATTCAGGAATAGAGATTGACTTTTGGCATGTTGTGTAGCTTGATGGCGTCGACCCTTTAGTCAATTTTGTTAAGCCGGAACTTATCGACGGTTGGCCTTATCTCAATAGCGGCTATGGTTAACAATACGGGGGATTGGAAATGGAACCATTTTGAACATCTCTCACCTCAAGACATTTTGCTGAGAATCGCTATTGTCAAGGAACCAGATTCGAGACTTTCAAGGGATTTGATTGGGTGTCGAGGAACCTGGAACAGATCGTTTACGCTTAAGTCTGCTTATATGTTGCGGTTCGGGTCTATGGATCAAAACTCAACCCGATGTGGGCATCTGTGCATAGGTTTCGAGGTTTGCCTCGTCTCAAAGCTTTCCTTTGGTTGTTGTGTCACCAAAAACTGATGACGGATGCAGAACGATGCCAGCGCCATTTTAGTACAGTTCGTAGTTGTCCAGTGTGTGGTGCTTCGAAGATGTTGAGCACTCAGGCTGTCCACCGGTAATGAATGTTTGTTCTGCTATGGTGCTATCGTCGCAGATGAGATTGTTTTTGAGTTTAGATTTGCATGCGTGGATTAACGTAAATTTGTCTGGATCAAACATGTTTGGGCGATGCATGGAGCAATGTGACCTAGTTTTTGCTTATATACTTGGGAATTTATGGCTTGATAGAAATACTTTTATTTTCAATAATGGGACGGTTGGGCGAGGTTCTGTAGTAGATCGCAACAAGAATTTGATTGTGTTATCGTCCCACGTGGCGGAGGAACATAGCGTCGTGTAGTTGAGGGAAGCTAACACAAGTCCGGGTGTTATGCGTTGGAATCCTCCAAGACAGTAGTGGATTAAATTAAACTCAGATGGGTCTTGTTGTGCATCGAACCGATACGCCAAATGTGGAGGGGTCGCTAGAAATGAGGTTGGTGAATGGTGCTTTGGGTTTTCTAAATTTCTTGGTATTTGTTCGGTTCTGGATGCCGAGTTTTGAGGGGGCTAATTATGCTTTATTCTACGCTTGGGAGACCGGTTGCCGAAATGTGAAACTTGAATTGGATAGCTTGAAAGCGATTACCGTGTTAAAGGATAACATCAAGGGGAATCACTTTCTTAAATGGCACTTGGATGAGTTTAGGTGTCGTGATTAGAGCGTTGTTATTCAACATATTCGACGGGAGGGTAATAACGTGGCTGATACAATGGTTAAAAGTGCCAGAGAGGAGAGTCTGGAAGTTACATATTGTGTAGCTTCTCCAAATTGGATACTACCGTCGTTCATTTTTTGTCGTTGATGTATTTTGTTTGTCCTGATGTTAGTACGGATATTCTTTTCCTCTGTTTAGGTTAATTTTTTTTTTAACGAATCCTCTATTAATATTTCATGTGTATGATCATATTTTAATGGAATCGTACCTTACAAAAAGAAAAGAAGACGAATGAAAAACATGGCCGAGGGGAATTGGATCATCGAAAACACTGACTGATTTCTCCAATGAAATATGAGTTTTTAGTTTTTACTTCTCAACTTTTACCAACTCAAAAACAAAACTAGATCAATTACCTATAGGGAATTTTGTAATCACTAAGTTAAAAGGTGGGTTTTCTAATCATATATAAATGTAATAATTAACAAAAATATCTCTTCGAATAACATACTGTTGCCGTTTAACGAGAAGAAAAAAAACAACCTAAAGGGCTGTTTGTTTACTTCAGAATGATTAAACGCTGAATGATTCAGAGGCTCTGTATGAATTAACTCTGAATGTGACATGTTGTTTGATAATGACTCTGAATCATTCAGAATGTACTTCTGTGTTGAATCATTCATCATTGTTTTGTTGAATCAGTCAACACTGAATCATTCAGAAGTGCGAAACAAACGCGCTGAATGTTGAACGGTTCAACATTCAACGCTAAATAATTCCATTAAGAGACAAACAAACAGCCCCTAAGACTATCTAATCAGCTGCCGCTTAACGAGAAGAAAAGGGGAACAGGAAAAGAGGGGAATCCCTACAAGGTTAATATATTGCATATACATGGGACTAATTTAATAATTTATATACGAGTTCACCTTAAATCCAGTCATATCATACCCAAAATTATATTTTATATAATTCATTTTGTTGTGCCCAAATCCTAAATTTTTTTATTTTAAAAAATACCTTTATAAAATCAAATCAGATCAAAACTCATTAGATTCAGATATTTTAACTCAACACAAATTCATCTCACTTCATCCCTAAATGAATTACTATTTAATTATTACTTTTATATAATTTAATTATAAAATACATTAACATTATGATAAATTAGAAATATTTTCAAATATTTTGCTAATGGTTTAATTCACAAGTTAACCCTCTAAATATATACATTTTCTTAATTTACATCTCATTTTGAGCCTCAAAATTATTCCCGTTTACCCATTGGGGACACACCTAACAAGTGACTAGAACAAAACCAAACTCAGATACTACATGACACTGAGTTAATAAGTCCGAATTGTTCCAGGATATAAAATAAGAAGACATACATTCGGGGTAAAAAATGAGACAAAATTTACAGAGAAAATAGATATACTTGGAAGACGAATTTGTGAATTAAGCCTTACTAATCCGTGAAACAAATCCATGGGATGAACTTGAATTAAAAACGGAAAAAAATCATAAACTGACCCGACCCGACCCATAAGTGTAATCATTAAACCGGTGCATGTATCATGCAAATTTATATTTAAGACAGAACTTTCAGCACATTCAGGCAGAAGTGGAACAGCTGATTGGTGCATATTATCTTCAGGATCATGCCAATTACGTCACAAGGTTCAAATATCACCAATACGACATTCATATTAGATTTGAAAAGAAAAAAAAAGCAAAGGGTTTTCCGAATATTTTCGATACATAAGCATAATTAGTATTATTGTGCTATAACTTCGAATAAAATGCAGTACATTATCACAATCTGAAATGGAATGTGTAGCTCTCTAAACTGATTTACATCAAAGAAACTAATGTACCTGATTGTTATCTGTCTTCTTCTGGAAAAAATGTGATCCTAATAGAACAGCAATGCCAGTTATTGCAATTGTGAATAGAATTCGTCTCCTAGAATAATCTTGTCGCTCCGGTCGCTGCCTTCTTGGACCACCTTCTTCCCGTTCAGTTGCCCTCACATCCCTAAACAGTGCCAAATACATTGATTAAAACTAATAACAATAGCTGCAGTTCTCTTGAGTAAGGGCAGAAAACAAAGAGCCGAATTCTGATGTGGCTTTCAGATAAATTACACACAAGCAAAGCATACTCATTACAATCAATCTAGCAGCACAACATACATCAATTCAGGCTTTAACTGGTAGTCTTTGCTGAAATAGAGGTACGCTCCATATACAGTAAGGTGACACAAAGATTAGATAAACTGTGCCATCTTTCCAGAGTTACAGGGGGTCCTTGTGACTGATGGTATGTAGTGGAAATCATACAATACTCACTTCACTTTTGAAATAATTGATTGCATATCAGGGGTAGATTCTGGACTGAAATAAATACTTTTTAACATAAATCCACATTTGGAACTAGAAGCTCTCAATTCCAGAAAGAAATTCAAATTGGTACAAAATGCTAAGCTAGAGCATGCAAGGTACCAAATCTTGGTTGCTAGATACTAAGAAGACAAAAGTACAACTTCAAATCATAGGGCATCGATAACAAGCTTAGATGAGAGAAAGATGTGTGGAAAAAAACACAAACTGATTAAATATCTAACCTAACAATCCAATCAGAATTTTTTTTTTGATAGGAATCCAATCAGAATTATATTATAGTATATATACCTGGAAGATCCCACATTGTTTTCTGCAATACCATTACACCTACTTTCATGGTTATATCTTTCTCTCAGTCTAATGTATCTGTTACAAAGATGACACAGCTCTGTCCGGTTCCCACATACTTCCTGAAATCACAAGGCAACAAGCAACATTGTAATAAGTTCTCAGCTACAAGTACCAGAATCCTTCCATTCGAAAACAGATTCAGAATAAGTACCTGATGCTCAGCAAGATCAATGGCGGGCAATGGAAATTCACAAAACTCACATGTAACAATCCTCTGGGGGCAATTTTCCCCTTTATGAACAGCTAGAATTTCACGTTCCATTGTCTCACTGCACAGAGAACAGGCCACCTGCTTGCACAGATACACGGTCAATAGCATCACAAATGTTAAGACATGCATCATGATATATTTTTAGATATGCACTTGTACATAGAGAATTGAATCCTTTCAAAAGAAAAGAAAAGACCTACCGGAGCATGGGTGTTGAAGAAATGTTCCTCAGTATGCTTTTTTGGAATCATATCACCACATATTTTACATTTTTCTAGATTACGGGAGCAATGAGCATAATGCAAATCGATGTTAGAAGAAGGTATGGCTCTGTCACTGAACAATTAAGAAGGAAAAGTACTTGTTAAATACTCTTCTGTATGGGAATTTTAAAATATAGTAAAACCTAAATAAATGAATGTTAGACAAATTAGTGACTAATTAATATATCTGGTTATTCCAACTCAGTTAGATCACTAAAATTATTTATTTCTATATAGCAGAAAGATAAGGCAATAGGTGAACCTTGGTAACTTTGACACAACTCATATTTCACCTTCCTAAGGAAACATAAGAGCATCCTACAGCATCCGTATGAAATAACTTCATGATAAAAAAGAAAATGTGGAAGCGTAGAGCTTCTTTTCAACAATATGCAAATGCTAAGCACACTTTTCCCATCAAATGGAATACAAAGGTTGTTATTTATTAGAACAATGAAGGCATAGCCTGGAACCGGGTTGTTGATGCTGAATGTGAACCTCAAACTTCCTAGATATTACCTACTACGGATAGCTACATGAACCAACTGAGCTAAGCTCAGGATTCAAAGTGGATTATAAAGTATTGTAAACGCAGACTAGCACAGCACCAAAAAAGAATCAACAAGTATGTAGAAAGGTTCAAAATACCCTATACTCACAGCCAATATTTCATAGTTCAATGACTTTTCAACTAGGGACAAAGACAAATGTTGCGATCACATGAACCAAATACAACAGAAAAATCATCAAACAAACAGAATTTTAGGTCCTAATCAAAGCCAAAACCAGAGGGTAATTCAACTAAATACACTCCCTTCTCGACTTAAATTGACCAACTTAAATTACCAATACTTTCTTTTTGCATTGACCAATCTACTACTACAAAGACTCTAAACAAACCAAGAAACAAGAATTCCTCCAATTCGCCAAGTTAAGTTCAAACAAACGAAAATCTCATCTGATAAAAGCATAAATAAACAAAACCTGGATCGGAAATACATGAAAAATAGCACAGAAATCCAACGAATCAAAATTAATTCTAAAAAAGTATCATAAAAGATACTAATAAGTACCAGTGATTGCATATGCGGGTGGTTTCTTCCGAAGCAATTGCCATAGCGATCCGTTACAAAATCTTTGACCAACAAAAAAAGGAAATTAAAAAAAAGAAATCAACGAAAAAGGGAAAATCAGATAAGGGGAACTAAAATTAGTGATGAACAATCAGTAAATCAACCTGCAGAAAGACTTTGATTTTCGTTGAAACTCCCCTCTTCTTTGTTTATTTTTTTTATATAAATTGAAAAGGAAATTAGAGCGAAGAGTTGTTTTGATTAAATTGAACCAACCAACTGCTCTGGAGTTTTGACATTGGGAGTTGGGACCGCCGATGGAGTCCACCATCCGGCTTTTTCCCCACGTGCCTTCCAATTTCCAAAGGATGTGAGTTGCACGACTATTCGCAATTTGGGCCCTTGCTATTCTAACTTTTCGGGCCTTCAGCACAAAAGGATGCTCTTCGGAGAAAAATGATTAATTGTATATCATTTTTAGTTAATGAAAATTACATCATTCCTCACTAAAATATATTCTCTCTCCTATTTTTCTCACACTAACTTTTAAATTTTCTATTTTGTTCACTTACTTTACAAATTGAATCATTTTCCTCACTCCTCATTAACTCTCTAACGTTTTGATGATGTTTTATTTATTAGTATTTTTAATATAAAATAATTGAGAAAACAACAAAAAATATAAGGTGGTCGGATGCCACCGTCGGCTGCCGTAGACGGTGGTCGTTTGGTCTCAAATTTCATTGGTCTCTTCTCCTTGACTTCATGATTTCGAATTACCTCTATTTTTTTGGAACTTGCTTCGAAGTCCATGGATGTGAGATTGAAAGTGAGGAAGCCGAAACGTTTCAGTCAAGATTTATGAGTTTTAGGACATTTTTCGGTGAAACAACCACCAGATTCAGACTCAGGGGTCGAGATGAACAGGTCCATGAAATTTGGGATCGAACAACCACCATCAACGATTGTGGACGGTGCTCGGAATGAAAAATGACGTGGTGGTCAACGGAGAGAAAATGAAGAAGAAAACAAAAAGGGTAAATTAGATCATTCCTCACTAAATTTTACTCTCTCTCCTATTTTACTCACTGATATTTCAATATAAGATTCAAAACGACGTTGTTTTGGTGTATATTTGAGTTTTTCAAAACGATGTCGTTTTGATGATTGTGTCATGTCATAACATCGTTAAATAGTTAACAGTAGAGTGAACAAAATGATTCAATCTATAAAGTTCAGTGAGAAAAATAAAAAAAATTAAAAGTTGGGTGAGGAAAATAGGAGAGAATTATAGTTCATTGAAGGACGATGTAATTTACTCTTAGTTAAAATACTAAAAACTGAATTATTAGTTTTATTTGTTTTTTATATTATCCAAATATTATCTTTTATTCTTAATTATTTTATTTCAAATAAAAACTTATTTTATATTAAGATGTTATTTGATAAGAAGTTGAAATTTTTATTATAAAAAATAAAGTTATAAAATGTGTATGGTATATCACTTTAAATTAATAAAATTTAGGGTAAAGTATATAAATGATCTCCCGACTATATGATGTTCTATTAAACCCCTCGACTATTAAAAGTTACAAATTGTCCTCTACTATTGCTTCATTGAGTCCCTTAACTACTAAAAGTTATAAAATGGCCACCTAACTATTCATTATGTTCCAAACTCATCATTTTCCCTGAAAAATTAATGGTATTTTGAGTTAAAAGTTAATATGCTAACTGTGGTATGATAAAATCTAATCTCAAAATCTCAAACGACTATCATATCCTAATTATCATGTTAACGTTCAGCTTAGATAATTGTTAATTTTTTAACGGAAAATAACGAGTTTGGAACATAATCAATAATCGAGTGACCAATTTATAACTTGTAGTATTCAATGGACTTAACAATACATCATTCTATAGTCGAAGGATCATTTTATAACTTTTAATAGTCAAGGGACTTAATAAAGTAATACCATATAATCAAAAGACCATTTGTGTATTTTACCCTAAAATTTATCAGAAAAATATTCATTTTTATAAAAATTTGAGTACTTTCTTTCTAAATTATTAAAGATATTTAAAAATTAAGTCATTAACAATATTAATATTTAATTAAGTAATTTTATGGGTAAAGTACACAAATAGTCTTTCGATTATATGGTGTTGCTTTGTTGAGTATTCCAACTACTGAAAGTTACAAAAAGGTCATTGAGTATAAGGAGATGTTTTGTTGAGTCTCCCAACTATTAAAAGTTACAAAATTATCACCCGACTATTCATATGTTCCAAACTCATCATTTTCCCATAGTCTGAACTAAATGTTAACATACTGACTTGGATATGGTAAAATATAATCATAGAACTGTTTGAGTTGTATTTTGTGGATCGAGTCTCCTTTTACATTGTGTCATCAAGTCAATGCTTGAAACATTATATCGTCAAGTCAATTCTTGAAAGCAACGACTATGTCGGTAAACATCATTAAAATATGATTTTATCATATCACAATCAATAGGTTAACGTGCAACTCAAAAGATTGTCATTTTTAATGGAAAAATACGGGTTTAGAATATATGAATAGTTGACCATTTTGTAACTTTTAATACCTTAGAGATTCAACAAAACATCGTCCCATAGCTGGGGGACCATTTTATAACTTTTAATAGTCGGGAGGCTCAATAAAGTAACATTCTATAGTTAGGGAGCCATTTGTGTATTTTACCCTTTTATAAAATCATGGGAATCTATTATATATTTGCATTTTATATATATGTGTAATCACCGATATCCAATTTATTAATCGATTAATCTGGATCGAGTATTGTATAAACGAGGGCAATTTTTCCAATTCAATTTATTTGATTTGCAAACCGAATTCAAATATTGTATAAATATTTTTAACTTGTAATCAACTTATTTTGACCAAAAGCAAGGCATACCCAGTTAAGATTGAGGTAAGCCTCTAATCCCACCTTATTGGGCTATGAAAGCTTGGTCTCTTTCGACCTAACATTGGGCTACACTTATACTTTGGGATAATCTCTAAAGTCTAGATCGAACCACCTCTCGCAGACATTTTACGATGATTATATGGCAAAAGGGAGGGAATTTGAGTTGTGGATATTTACATATAACGAACTTGAATATATGAGGGATAGTACTATTTATTTTGAATTTAAATAATAATATTCGAATAATTTGTGGATAAAAACATATTTAAAGATTTATAATTTTGTATTTGAATTATTTAAAAATTATATATATTCATCCCATTGTGGTTCCTAGTGACAATCTATAATCTGCTAAACTAATCAATTGTGATAACTATCTATCTATTACGATATTATATTTTTTTTGGATATGTTATTCGTATGATTGATAAATCTTAGGTGATAAAGAGTTTTTTTTTGGGGCTTATCCATTTTTTTTATAATTTTAATATTTGTTTTATGGTCGATGTTTAGCATTTATGATTAATTCTTTTAATGATATCGACTTCAGAATTTAAAAAAGAATTGAAATAAGTACGTAGATTGCATTAGCAATTTCATATAAATAGCCTAGAATGATTATAAGGTATTATATGTAAAATCTTTGGTTAGTAGTTAATAAAATACATTTTACAAATAATTGCTAAATTTTATTGATGGAAAACTCTGAACGCTCTGAATGCTCGAACCAAGAACGAGATCTACTGATGCAGAGCAAGAAAATTAAATCTTTCGGTGATGTTCCTCACGCTCAAGTGGATTTGGATATGGAAGAGGCTACTCGGCTCAACCTCGACCATGGTGGTGAACTTGCGGTGGAGTTGACTGAAAATGATGTTGGGAAGGAAAAACTATCCTATAGAAATATGCTTCTGGGCAAAAACATAATATATGGTTTTCAGGATTCGGATGAGTTCGGGCCTATTAGTCAAAATGACGGCCTGATATCAGTTAGCACAAAGGAGTCTTGGCCGATGTTGCGCACTTCTGATAAGTTCCGAGCTAGCCTCAATATTAGATGGTCAAACTGTGTGATTTTAAAATTACGTGTAGGTTTATTGGTTTTCGTGCACTGAAAAAGAGAAGGCCCTTGGATTATATATGGAAACAACTTAACAGTGCATAAATGGTTTCCTGCGTTCCATCCTTCGACTACGACTGTTGATTCCACTGCGGTCTGGGTTTGTTTTCCCGGGTTACCGGTCCAATATTACAATGAACGCATGTTATTTTCCACGGGGACTCTTTGGGACGTGCGCTCAAAGTTGATATCAACAATAGTTATGCTTCCAAGGGAAGATTCACTCATGTCTGTGTGGAAATTGATTTTGAACGAGCGTTAGTGCCGAAAATTGAAGTGGATAGAAGATGGTAGTATGGTACCATTACAGTATGAAAGTTTACCCCTGATTTGTTTCAATTGTGACATGTTTGACCATAAGGATTGTTCTCCCTTTGTGGCCCATACGAGCGTGGAAGTTGTTTAAGGCGATGCCTTATCGGGGAAGGAAGATTGTAAAGACACCACTGGCGTAATTGGAGATACAGGGCCATCAGTGGAAGGTGCTAAGTCAACATCATCTGATTTTGGATAATGGATGATTTCCCAACGCTGCAAGCCTAGGAAAATCTCCAAGAATCTAGGAGAGAAAATTGGGAAAGACAAAAATGAAGAGAAAAAGGTGGGTTAAGATTCACCCCTTTGAATGTTATCCTAGATGAAATGGTCTCTAACATGGCAACTACCAACGATCAAGCTACTTATACTAATAAAGATGGGGGGAGAACTTCCAAAAATAGTCACGTGCAAAGCAATAGGAAACTTAATATTTCACCACAAAAGCCAAACTAAGGCTACTTCACGTAAAACACCTCTAAATGACGTTATCTTGCATGAAAAAGTAAATAACGTTAATAATATTGGTTTGTATTGCATGAGTTCTACGAGTAGAGGGACTGAGGTCTTGAATGTTGACTATGATGAAGTGATGGAGGAAGCTTCCCCTATCGAGGCTACTAACCCCATGGACTTCATGACCTGATTACCTATAACTAGATAGAGACATGGCGTAGTTTGAGTCATAGTTGATCGTTTGACCAAATCAACCCAGTTCCTCCTAATTCAGATGGATTATACCTTAGAGATGTTAGCTCAATTGTACATCTGTGAGATACTGAGGTTGCACGGGATACCAATTTCCATAATATTCGACAGAGATCCTTGATTCACTTCCCGATTCTGGAAAACCTTTAATGAATCCCTAGG